GGCGCCATTATTAAGCCCGCATCCGACCCGCGAGAATTAATGACTCGAAAGTGAACTACCCTGCCATCACCGCTCCAATTACGGCCCCAAGCAGTGCCGATGGCCGCTCAGAACTATGAATACCGCGGAATCTGGGCATGTATCACCCTAATCTGCACACCATTCTGCGGGTAACTATTATTCAGGATTTTCGAACTTGCTCGAGCAGGAGAATCAGTCACGTGGGAAGGGCCGGGCCCAGCTGCAACTCCGACGACAGCGAGCATAATTGTCGCGCCCAGACAACGAAATCGCGGCCATTAATGACTCGACAGTGAACTGGTAAGCCACCTCCGCACCAATTACGACCCCAAGCAGTGATTAAAGTATCTGATAATTATGCTACGCATACGGATGGCCGCAGCGATCGCATCTTCTTCTTCTTCTTCTTCTTCTGAACTGCTTCCTGGAACTAGCATATTCGCTTTTATAGTTGCTGCATTCAAACATCGTACCCTACTGCCGCAATCGCACGAGCCACCTTTCCGCCAACCTCCAAAATTGCACGTTGGAAAAGCAATCGTCTTAAGCAACGCACACACCCCCTTTCGGTATGATATAATACCAAGATGATTATTTGTCAATATTGACTAGTTAACACACAGGATAGACGCTTTTCCTCTGCCTTCCCTTTCTACTGACTAAACTCGGATTTCCTTGTCATTTTGAGAACATGCTTGCAGCTGTAATGAACCCTCTGTGACGAGAGCAAGAAGGTTCATATATCTTGGAAGATCGACCTACTAAAGTGGTTTACCTTTTGAGTATATTATTTGTTGTTCTGCCTTGGGGCAGACTAAAATGTCCTCCAGTTCAACGTTTTATCAACTGCTTTACATGGAACGATCCAGTAATTGCAATCCCTTGGCGACAACTTTGGAAAGAAGGTTGCGGTCAAGCTAAGGGTTAAGTTTAAAGTGAAGGCTAAGTTTATATTGGAGGTTAGGGTTACGAGTAACTATAAAGTTAGAGTTGAAGGTGGGATCAATGATAGGGCTTATGTCAGTGTTAGGACAGGGAAATAGTTACGTTCCTTGGAATCACGCGTATAGCCACCTGTAGTCCTTGGGTAGGGCATTGATCTTCCCTCTCTGTCCTGTTTAGGATGCTAGGCAAGTAATCCTTATCGTAAATCTTTATGATCATGTGATGAGACACATTAGCCTTTGATAATAACTTTAAATTAAATTAATGCGCGGTGTGGACATAAATTTGGGGAAGGACAGCAAAGTGCGGAACGAAATCTGTGCCTGTAGTAGACAAACTCTGCGTCCTGGAAAGGCTACGGCAATACCTTCACATGTATAACTTTCTCCTAACAAGGTCATCTAAAAGGAACATTTTTAATGCAGCATTAAAGTGAAGCTATGGCCAATATTGATTATTCTGCTGAGCACATCTCACGACTTATGCCTCTGATGTTTCCTTATAGGAGCTCCTGTGCACAATAATGTTGGAAATGCAATAGTTTCTTTCAAAATGTTCGTGACTTTCATGACTTTGCACCTGGAATCGACAGTACTGCTGCAGGCTGTTTCAGATTATTATGTAGTTAAGTGAGTTTACCTTAATTGAATTTACTTTTAAGGTAGTTGGATTATTTTTAGTCAGTTATCTTTAATTCATATCCCAATATTCGAATATTTGCATATTTTAATTATGGCGCGCCTTTTGCTGGCAAACATTTGATTATTTAAACAATTTTTTCTGTTTTTTCTACTTTTACAAACGTTATTTCTTTATTTATATTTCCTTTTACTTGTATTCGTCATTCTGTATGCTCTTTTTACACCTGGTCCTGTATTACAAAAGAATGGTGCTGAGCTGGGAACGAAAGTAGCATTCTACCGATAAAATTAGTATTCACATCCACAGTCAAGCTTCACGGTCATGGAAAGGCCGTTTTTGGCCAATGGGTAATCCAGGAACAAACAGATCGAGGGAACTACAGTTGGCAATATGATAAATCGGGCACAGAAAGACCTACTATAAGATATTCCACGGTTCATTCTTCATTTAAGAACGTTCCTGCATTCTACCACATAAGCCTAGGTTCATTTGAATGCACTGAGATTGTTAGATAACTGTCTCTAGTCCAATTGCTTCATTTAAAAATTGAATGACAAATTGTCCAACCAAAGACTATTTTCAATAGCAAAACATTTTAAAAAGTCGGACACCTGGGGTGCAGACAATTTATGCGGATAAAGCTCTGCCTCTCTGTGGAACATGATCGGACCGCAGGGCAGAGGTATTCGCATTATTAGTCCTGCCCGGGGCCATCGGTCCGAAGTCTAATTACTGTTCGGCTTATTATATATTCCCATTGTCTGAGCGGACGAGCGGCACAACCATTTTTCGTCTAGATGACTAAGCGGAGTCCGTGTATCTATTATGCATCTGTTTGCCAAGATGCACGCATCGCGCCGCTGACTGGATACCGCTACTGAATGTCACCCACTTCTGATGCAGACTGGGCAAAAAACATGAACAGAGCAGGGGACATCTTCGTACCTTCGAACTTAATTCTGCACTCACATGAAACAGTATTCTCATTTATGATCGAAGTGACCCAGTGTTTAAGCGATTAACTTGAAATAGAAGGGCAGAATTCCGGGAAAGAATATGCGGATACTCCGTGATTTAGATTTGGCTTGCTAACAGTGAATAATAAATCAAAATTGACCGATTCAGTCACCTGTTCTTTCAGTGCCTCGTAAAGGTACTTTGTTTTTGAAAAGTTCACTCGAAAAAAAACATGTTTTAAGTAATTCATCCTCATTTGGAAGGGAAAGACTAACTCCCATTGAAGGCCACATCGATGTGCAGGGAGTACTTTCGTCGTACAACGGGGCACCGACGAAAGAGGGTAAGTGGACACATACCCGCTTGCTTAAGTAAATGTGATATCAAATGGATTTCCGGTTCCATTCTCGCGTACCAAGCCGATATAAGTTATCATGTGAATTCCAACGGGTACTTTTAGATCACCGGTTGGCTGGCAGACAGTTTCTCTAAAAACCTACGCCAACGGGCGTTAGCAACAGGCAAGACAGTGAGGATACGGCCAGTGGACGCAGTTCTATGCTGTCAGAATATGCTAATAAAGGGTGTCTTTCCTTCTAAGGTGGTAATCACATGCCGCGCCCACACTCTGTTGACATTTGATCATTCCACGTTCTGAACAGTGCTGGTCAATCCTCCGTTCTCGATCTCCGAAAATCATTCCGACTTCCTAACTTCCCCTTTGTTGGGATGGCCCAGGCGCGAGTTATCACTCGGGCAATCCTAAGGGTACCAGAACAAAGGGACCTTACTGGCGACCGATTTATGCAGTTACAAACGACCTTCAAAAATCGGACATTAGGACAGGACAAAGGAGGCACGCGCAAGCGAGACTGCCCCGCGGCCGGGTTGCTGCTATCGGGAGGTCACGCTAAGGACACGATGGCTGAAGCATGACGGCTGCCTGTAGAGGCCACTCGTGGAAAGCCAATATGGAACAATGACTACTGGCCCTTAAGTATGCTGCAACCGCTGGAGGCGGCAATCTGTTGCTGGAGACGTGCTACCGACGACCCGATATTTCTGCCGCTAGCGACCCGGGATACTGTTGGTTAAGACGACGACAGAACACAAGCTGCTGACGGACGTCGAAGAAAAGCTGTTGGACACACAGGAAACAGAACTGATGAACTGGTAGAACTGAGAGAAAAGTACTATCTGCTATCCTGTTCTGCCTTCTCTTCGTAACA